TCTTGCACCTTGGCCTAGGACAGCTCATGGCAAAGTTAAAAGGGCTCCATCGTATCATAACAGTTGAAAAACACTTCTATACTATAAAATATATTGCTATATATTAGTATAATGCAGTGGTTCTTAACCTGGATTCGATCGAACCCCAGGGGTTCGGAGAGGCTCAGGGGTTCGGCGGAGGTCCAAAAAAATCAGAAAAAAAATCATATTTTATTTTTCCTATTAAGAAGGGTTTGGTGAATGCGCGTATGAGTCTGGTGGGGTTCGGTACCTCAAAAAAGGTTAAGAACCACTGGTATAATGTATGTATAGACCAGGGGTGGCCAGTCCTGTAGTAACTGAGAGCCATTTTTAAAATAAAAAAATTGTTGAGAGCCGCATTGAAGCACTATGGGTCATGACCCCACTTGCAATGAAAAATTCCTTTTGTGAATTATTTTTAAAAATTACTTTTTATTCGAATTTAATAATTTAAACATTTCAATTGTTTTAACCCTAACCGTATGTTGAAGAAATATATGCATTACAGTTACACAATTGACAAGGTGTAATTTAATAAATTGTTTGCGAGCCGCAATCTGAACACAGAAGAGCCTCATGCGGCTCGCGAGCCGCGGTTTGACCACCGTTGGTATAGACTGATATAGGCCTTACAGCCTATATATATATATATATATATAATTTTTTTTTGTAGTAGTAGTAGTAGTAGTAGGGCCTACTTAGATAGTAACACTACTGATACTAGACAATGGGACAAGACAGGTCATTGTTGGAGTAGACCCATTTTATGGGACAAGACAGGTCATTGTTGGAATAGACCCATTTTATGGAACAAGACAGGTCATTGTTGGAATGACCCATTTTATGGGACAAGACAGGTCATTTTTGGAATCCGCCTCCTCATCCTGATGTCCCTTAGTCCTTGGACCGATGTGGCGCCACAGATGACATGTGAACCATCCTCCTCCATTCTACTCTGTCTTCTGCACTATGCACTGCATTGCCCATTGTTAGTCCTGTCCACTCTTTGATGTTATCCTCCTATCTTTTTCTTTGTCTTCCTCTTCTTCTCCTTCCTCTTGTGGTGCCCTGCAATATTTCTTTGGCAAGCCCTTGTTTCCTTGTTACGTGGCCGTACCATTGTAGTTTGCGTTTTTTCACAGTCACCATTAGGTTTTCGTACTCCCCTATTGCCTGGCGAACCATTTCTTTCACTGTATCATTGGAGATATGGTCCCTATAGCAGATGCCAAAAATGCTTCTGAAGCATCTCATCTCCATCGCCCTTATTTTCCTTTCAAGATCGGATGTTAATGTCCAGGCTTCGCAGGCATACAGGAAAATGGAGAGGACTAATGAGCGCATCAGCCTGATTTTGGTTCTGGGGGCTATATTTTTGTCATTCCATATTTTCTTGAGCTTCTTTAGTGCTGTTGTAGTCTGTGCAATCCTGGACATCAGTTCGGGCATGGAGCCTTCTTCCGAGACTATTGCTCCTAGGTATTTGAAGCGGCCGACAGTCTCTAATCTTTCCTCCCCGACCTTAATTTCAGTGGTGATGCCTGTGGTGTTATTTGTCATCAGTTTTGTCTTTTCGGCACTGATTAGCAGGCCGTAGGACGACGAGGTCTTGTCGAGACGCTTTACCAGGTTGGCTAGCTCTTCTTCGTTCCCAGCCCATCCGTCTATGTCGTCCTCAAAGCGTAGGTTGGTGATTGTTCTGCCACCAATGCTGACTGTCCCTTCATGCCCTTCCAGAGCATCTGACATAATTCTCTCTAGGAAGATGTTGAACGGGGTGGGGGAGAGCAGGCAGCCCTGTCCAACCGTGGTCTTGAATCATTCTGCGATGAGGAATTGTTGTTGAGGAAGACTGCACTGGTGGCCTTATCATAGAGGTTGCATATCATTCTTGTTAGGTTTGTGTTGATGTTGTAGTGCCTCATGGTGGCCCATAAAGCAGGATACCAAACCCTGTCAAATGCTTTCTTGAAGTCAACAAAGACGTGGTATAGGTTTTGTTGGTGTTGAGCATATTTCTCACATAGTTTTTGGAGGTTTAGAATCTGCTCAGTAGTGCCCCGTCCTTGTCTGAAGCCCGCCTGTTCTTCAGCAATGATTCTGTCGGCATATGGTTTTAGTCGGTTCAAAATGATTTTCACCATGACCTTGCTTGGATGGCTTATTAGGCTAATTGTGCGATAGTTTTGGCATAGCTGTAGGTTACCTTTTTTGGGGAGGGTGACGATGAGCGATTGTTGGAATAGACCCATTTTATGGGACACGACAGGTCATTGTTGGGATAGACCTATTTTATGGGACAAGACAGGTCATTGTTTGATTAGACCAGTTTGATAGGACAAGACAGGTCATTGTTTGATCAGATCATTCTGATGATGTTGAAAAAGTAATTAGTGTCCAATTGTGGGGAATACAATAGTGTAGGTGATCCAGAATATGTCTGCATTATTTCGACAGGTGCTCATAAATAATTTTTAAACTAGACACTAGACATGACTTTAGTAACAGAGCATAAATATAAATGTGTATCCGAAAAAGACACCTGATTGGGCAAGTCACATACACCAGACAAAGAGAGACTTGATGATGGTGCTACCCATCCCCCCTCCACCCCAACCATCCCCATCTCATTCTCATCAATAAATTATATATGCTATAGGCTTTATATATATTTAAAAAACACAGAATTTAGTTTGAGATACTGTAACTACTAGTCCAGCATCTCTGCGCTGGTTCTGGTAGGGTAGGTTGCTGAATCCATGTACTGGCATATGTGCAATGGTTGGGGAAGCCATGCTGTTATGGATCTCTATGGTGAGGATATATTTTTGAAAGGGCTCGATATAATTGAAAAAAAAGAATGTCCCCCCCCCCCCAAAAAAAAAAACAGTCCCCCCCCCCCCCCCCCCAAGAACCCTGGTTCCCAACCCATTAGGTTGCAACACCAAATGAGGCCATGAAGGGTTTTCTGAGCTGTCACTGACTGCAACAGTAAATTACAAAAATAATTACAAAAAATAGATTGAAAGAAAATTTTATTTAATGAAAATTAATTGAAAATTAATTGATAATATGATGCATTAGGTCAGGAACTGGTGTTTGATGAATGCTAATGACAATATTTTTTTAACACTTGTGCCTATTTGTTTAATCTAGCTTGCCTGTTGCTGTGGTCCAGCTTCATGTGCTCTCTGCTGTGGCTGTTTACCTCCCATCAATGAATCGACTGGCTCCAGAACAATGTATACACTACTCCTAACATTCAGCTTCATCATTCAGTGTGTTATGCAAATACCCAATCTGGGAGATTTGATAAAGGAGCATGTACCGGTAAGTAAAAAATTACTCAGAATATTCTTGTCATTATTGTTCATGGTATAGAGTTATACATTTTATATAGTGCGAAAATAAAAGGCTGAAATGGACTCATCAACTTTACAAGGCAGTTGACCTTTGGGAGCAGTTAACTACAGGTTAGCATGAGATTAAATTGGCTGTCTATTATTACATTTAGCATATATATATATATATATATATATTTATACGGCATCCTTCCGTATTGTGAGATGATGGAGTAGCTTATTGACACTTCATCAAATCCTGGATTGGCAGGCTCAGCTGAAATTCTCGCAGGAGAACCTTAACTTCTTGTTATTTCCGCATTTATTAATGCTCTCTTTTTTGCACAGGCTTCGTTTCGAGTATCTTCTGTCTGATTGAGTCTCTAATACAGCTGTTTTACTGATTAATGATGATCTCCCATTCACCGATTTTTATGTTGCCTTCCCTCATGTTTATTTTGTAAATGTCCTTAAAGGACAGCCATCAATAAGTCTTGCCCCCTTTGCCAACTCTCCATACAGCAGATTCTTTGAAAGACAGCCATTCTCCATTCTCCTTTCATGGCCTAACGAGCGAAGGTGCCTCTTGCTAAGAGTGGAGAACATGCTATACATTTGGGCACGTTCCAAAATCCCTGTGTTAGCACTTTGTCTAGCCATCACAGTTGCTAAATGCGACACAGACATCTTTGACTGGCATATGTGGTTCACACTTCACTTCTATATAGGAGCGTAATGTGCTCACATGCCTTATGGACTCTTAGTATTTACGCTTTCATTGAATTTAGGATTATTCCACACCCGCTTAATCAATTAAGCCATAGTTGCTGCTGCTCAATTTAGCCATAGTTGCTGCTGCTCAATTTAGCCATAGTTGCTGCTGTTCAGTTTAGCAATAGTTGCTGCTGTTCAGTTTAGCAATAGTTGCTGCTGCTCAATTTAGCCATAGTTGTTGCTGCTCAATTTAGCCATAGTTGCTGCTGCTCAATTTTGCCATGGTTGCTGCTGCTCAATTTTGCCATGGTTGCTGCTGCTCAATTTTGCCATAGTTGCTGCTCCTAAATTTTTTAGCCAAAGTTGCTGCTGCTCAATTTAGCCATAGTTGCTGATGCTCAATTTAGCCATAGTTGCTGCCACTCAATTTTGCCATAGTTGCTGCTGATCAATTTTGCCATGGTTGCTGCTGCTCGATTTTGCAAGAGTTGCTGATGCTCAATTTAGCCATAGTTGGTGCTGCTCAATTTTGCCATAGTTGCTGCTGCTCAATTTAGCCATAGTTACTGCTGCTCAATTTAGCCATAGTTGCTGCTGCTCAATTTAGCCATAGTCACTGCTGCTCAATTTAGCCATAGTTGCTGCTGCTCAATTTAGCCATAGTTGCTGCTGCTTTTGTAATCCTGATTTCACCTCGTCATAAGTGAAAACTGCGCTAGGGATATTGACCCAAAAGTGTGGGAAATTCTTAAGTACTGACAGATCATGGCCCACATTTAGTGTAATATTAATGGATAATTATGTAGTTTAAAATTCTTCAGATTTCATTTTATATATTTTATTTTTATTATATTATATATGCATATTAAAAAAAAGTGTAAAACTCTTGTTAAAATCCTTTTACCATTTCTACAGGTGATAAAGTTGCCAGAAATTTGTCCGCCATCAAATAGTGGCTGTGCCCATTTGGTTGGATATAAGGCTGTATATCGCATGGGTCTTGCTGTGACATCTTTCTACTTCCTACTTATGCTTTTAACAATGTGTGTACCCTCTAGTAACCATTGGCGAGCCAGTATTCAGAATGGGTAATTTGATAAGTTTATTTCTAAAATTAATTTTATTAATGAGGGAAAACTCACTTTTTAGATTTAGAAAATACAGATTGTGAACAAATTGTGTGCTTCCAATTATTAAGACGATGATATCAGGATTTAAATGCAAAGCAATGTTAATTATTAACTGACTTAGGACTTTGAAGGTATTGCTTTCCTTTTAGAGTCTGTCTAATGGCTGTGAAATCAAGGGTGGTGGGTGGTGTGGCTGTGGAATCAAGGGTGGTGTGGCTGTAGAATCAAGGGTGATGGGTGGTGTGGCTGTGGAATCGAGGGTGTTGTTTGGTGTGGCTGTGGAATCGAGGGTGGTGTGGCTGTGGAATCAAGGGTGTTGTTTGGTGTGGCTGTGGAATCAAGGGTGGTGTGGCTGTGGAATCAAGGATGGTGGGTGGTGTGTCTGTGGAATCAAGGGTGTTGTTTGGTGTGGCTGTGGAATCAAGGGTTTCTGGGTGCTGTGGCTGTGGAATCAAGGGTGTTGTTTGGTGTGGCTGTGGAATCAAGGGTGCTGAGTGGTGTGGCTGTGGATCAAGGGTGCTGGGTGGTGTCTAAAGTTATTAAAGCAATACTGATGATTCTACATAATGGGAGTAGCCCCCCTTCATCCACCCACCCATTCCCATTACAACTCCCCCATCATTCCTCTTTTATTTTTTTCTGTAGGTAAATGTTTTGATAAAAATATACCTAGTAATTTTCCATGATATTCAGTTATAAAATAACACTCAGAATTATATGGATTATAGTGTGTGGCCTTTCTAATTTGCCTTTATTTACACACATTTTTTGTATCAGTTGTAAACAACTTTCCAATGGACCAGTTCTACTCTAATCATATACACTCATGTCATAAAACAGATACTGGCTGTTCAAGTTTATTGTTCTCAGTGGATTCTGTGTGGCAACATTTTTTGTGCCTAATGACTTTAACATATGTAAGTAATTCTATAACTTTCAAATCTCCCTTTTCTGTGTGGGATAATAGTCAAATTATAATGTGACACAATGACTCATAGGTTAAATTAATACATCATGATATTTAAATAAAAAAAGGTCAGATCGTTATTGAGACTGCTCATGTATGTAATCTAAAAATAAGGCATGTAATAACATTAATTCTTGTTTCTTTTTTATTATTATTATTATTGTTTTTCCCTCACACGTGACGGTGACCAAGGCTTTGACTTAAGCAATAGCCTTGACCTGAGCTGTACTTTGTTAAAAGTGAAGACCACTTTTTTTCTTCTCTTCTACAGATTGGATGTATGTGGGTATGGTGGGTGGGTCCATGTTCATCATATTACAACTGATTTTGTTAGTGGATTTCACTCATGCTTGGCATGCATCATGGTAATACTGACAACAATTTCTTATATTGTTAAATCTGTACCGTTGTGCTGATTATAATAAATACGACTGAAATAAGACTTGTAGAGTCATTAGAAACAATTTTTTAAAAGCTCCAATAAAGGATGTTAAGCTCAGGGTAACAAATTTCCTCCAGCAAAAACATGGGATTTAATATAATAAAATAAAAAAATACTTTACAAGAAATGAGATAAAACTGAAGTCATAAGAGTTTAAAAAGAATTTAGTTAGCACGGTAGAATAAGACCATACTGTTATTGAGCTCTCATATTATTGTGAACTGATTAATTTTGGATTCTCTGCGTGTATCATTTTAGGGTTGGAAGAAGACAAGGACAAAGAAACAAATGTGGTATATTTGGTAAGTTTTGACTTTTATTAATTCTTATTAAGAAGAAAGTTCCTATGTTACAAAGTTATTAAATATTCACTATAAGTTGTATGTGTTTTGAATGAGCTTTGTATGTGTAAAAAATATGAAATATTGTGTAATATTAATATTGAGATCTTCTAAACCAAGGGGTCTCCAAACTACGGCCCGCGGGCCGCTCTCATGCGGCCCACGGAGACCTTTTTGTCTACGGAAAAATTTACGGAAATTTACGTGTAGCCTGCCAAAATCAGACAGAGTATTTAAGTTAAGAAAGTAAATAGGTGACATCCTGGAAAGTAAAGGCAAGCCACAGCCATTAGTGTCTGATGAAGAGTGGGTTTGGAAAATGGTCTTTGCTGCAGACATAACTAGTCATTTAAATTTTCTGAACCTAAAACTACAAGGAGAGGAAAATCTAGTTTCTGATCTATAAAACCCTCCTAAAGGCCTTCAGATCCAAATTCGTCTTTTTTTTTGGAACAAGTACAGGCCAACAACTTGACACACTGTCAGCAGTGCAAGGTCTCCACGTCATTTATGTATGCGAAATCATCAAAGACCTCCAGCTGCAGTTTCAGCAGCGGTTTTCTGACTTGGGTTCAAAGGCAGAAGAAGTGAGACTGTTTCAAAACCCATTTGAAGCAGATGTGGCCAGTCGCCCAGATGAACTGCACCTGGAAGTCATTGAGTTGCAAGCAAATGACCTCCTTGGGGACAAGTTAAAAGAAGGACCGGTGGGTTTTCGCCCAAAGGTAGACTTTCCTAATTTCAAAACTTTTGCATCAATGTTAATTTTTTAAACTTTGGAACAACATGCCTGTGTGAACAAATATTTTCAAGAACGAAATATGTGAAGAACAATTTGAGAACAAATTTGTCCGATGATAATCTCAGGTCACTGTTGATGTTAGGGACATCAAATCTAAATCCAGAAATGTCTGCTAATCACTGCCATTTTGGCATCCAGGAATCAATTTCACCATTCCCACTAATACAGGTGTTAATGTTGTAGTGTATCAATGTGTTATTAAATAATAACTGAATGAAATAGTAATACATAAATAATTAAAAACAACATTCATGTTTTGATTCTTTTTTATTTGGACCTCGAGTGTGCAGTCGGTCCCCGAACTGCTGTTTGATAGTTAATGCGGCCCTCGGGCTGAAAAGTTTGGAGACCCCTGTTCTTAACCATTTCATCTTTACGTTTGCCTTGCATTTGAACAGAACTTTAGGTTTAAAAAATAATTTATTTTCTGTTCCATAATACTGAAGTGTTTTTCAATAAAATAGTAACGCCAGGCATAAAAATGTGATGCATAATTCAAAAATATATTTCAAAACAAAGACTTCTAAAAAAAGGTTAATAAAACTCAGGTTTTAATATGTTGATGAGAGATAACTAGTAACTGGTAATTTCATCTCTTTAGGAGTAACTTCATCAGGATAGTTTATTCAAGTTTATCTAGTTTCTCTTCTTAAAGTGGTTTATCAAATATCATTTATGCATGTTAAAATGTATCACTGGAAGCCAAAATAAGCCCTTTATTAAGTTGATTGTCATTTGATTACAACAGGGACCGTTGTGGTTTCATTGCTGCTGTTTTCACTGGCTGTTGTCGGGACAATCTTTTTGTTTATTCATTATGGAACTGAAGGATGCACCACAAACCACATTTTTCTGGGCATCAATATAGGATTGTGTTTTCTGCTGACTTTTCTTACAGTGTTGCCTTACACTAAAAAGAGTGAGTTGTGGTTATGCATTTTATATTTAAAATAACAGTGAATTATAGAAGAATTATAGACGAAACTAGCAAGTTTTATTAAGTTTTTAAAACTGGATTTTGTTGTAACATTAACTGGTTGACTACCATAATCCACTGGAAGCACCAAACGTTCCTTTTATCATTGCCATTAGCCGCTGTGAGCGTCACAATTTGTTTCATAGTATAGCTAGTGATATATTTATATTCTTACTTTCTTTTTAACTTATTTTAATTTAATGATGGGAAGACAAAAGGGACAGTCAGAATGTAAAACAAAGAATGTATTTTGTCATATTTATCATATTTTGAGGATAGTTAGCTGGTATTTTTTCATGGCAACTAGGGCTAAGGTTAACAAAAGCCTACATAATGAAAATGTGTTGGAGATCTGTTTATTTCATTGCTGTTTTGTATAAATTTGGAAACCTCTAGCCTTTTCTAATTTGGTGCAGTAAATGTGATTACATAACTAATAAAGTCTAAATAGTAATTAAATATTTTGTAAATTCAAAACTTGAAAGTTAGTTAGCACATTTTTATAATTTTTGAATGCTTTAACTTGAAAATAATAATTTAACAATATTAACAAAAATGTGTTTTGAATTTATCATAAAGAAAATTTATTTATCTACAAAATGGTATTTTACACATAAAATATGTTAATAATTTTTAAAATGGCAACTGAATTTGTACATACACCTGCATGTTTGAAAATGTGGCCTACATTTAATTCAGCCACATACAGCTTTTTCAAACTTTTTCTATTATTATGAAAATCCATTTTATTGAAGTTGTTTGTAAGTTAAACTTGATAGATTTCAGATAAATTTAAATGTCTGTTAAACCATTGGTCCATAATTTAATGATTGAATGAAGTATTCAACAAATATTGTAAACTTATTTTTATAAGCTATTTAAAATTCTGCAAGAATACTTTTTTTTTTTAAAGGAAATCCAAATACTGGGTTACTTCAGGCATCAGTTATATGTCTCTATGTTGTTTACCTGACATGGTCCGGACTGACAAGTGAACCAGTAGAAAAGAGTATGTATGTCTTTATTCATACATATTTAACATATCTCTATGAATTCCTTCTTTTGTTAGTATTTTTTTTTTAATTGCTTAAAACATAATTATCCTGGTACCTTAATTTCATATTATCATAATAAAGTGTCTGTGCTTTGTTTTGTAGAGAAAGTATGGCATCTAAAATTGTACTACTTTATGATTCTGTGAAAATTTCTTTGTAGTTCAAAGTTTGCTGGACACATTCAAGACCGGAAAACTTGCGTTGACTTCTAACGTTGCTGGTTCTTCTCTGGCTACCCAAAAGGCTGTGAGTACCCCTGCTCAAATTATTGAAGAAGAAAAGTTCAATTATACATACAAGTGTCGACCTGATCCTGCCTTCCCTGAAAGTGATCGAATAGCTGCTTATGCTGGCCTTGTAATTATGTTTGGGATGGCAGTCTATGGGAGGTAATAGCAAAGATAGTTACCACCATTTTAATATTAATTTTTTTTGTATGTGTTTGGTGTACTCTAAAAGAGAAATGGGATAATATAGATCTGACTGTAACTGCCTGAGCTACGGGTCTTTTGACGAACAATGCATGCAAATTTTAGTCTTAAAACGTGGTGCACCTGGGTGGCCCAGCGATCTAAACTGTCTCAAACCAAAAAGCTGGTGGTCTGGAGTTCAATCCCCACCAAAGCCAACATTCCAAGCACCCCGGGTGGATGGGACTCGTTAGCTTTGATCAGCAACTCATCTAAGAGAAGGCAAACTCTGAATTTAAACCAGGAGCCAGAATGATCAACAAATTGATCGTGGGCCCCTCAAATATAAGAAGGAGAAAAAGAAATGATATAGAGTCTACTAAAATATTTACTAAAATTTTAATTTTTATGTTTTTAAAAAAAATTTTTGTCATCATTATATTTTAAAGATTATGTTTGCCATTTCTTGGTATTTCAGTTCATTACAAAAAGAAAAATGACCTTTCTTTGTCTTTATATATCAGACAGGGATATTGAGAAAGAAACAATATTAACCTTAAAAATAAGTATTTGTAAAAATTTTGAGGACACAGAATACAAAATAAAACTTGTGGGATTTTTGAAGTTACACAAACTTTCCTTCCTTTATTTTAGTGTGCGCACATCCCATGAAGCTCACAAGTTGGGTGTCAGAACTGTAAGTTGGGATATTGTACTAACTAAATATTTACTCAACTGACTTCATTCAAGATACTTTTTAAAAAATTGCTGCACTAAATAATCGATATTACCATCTGCATCAGAGTGAATTTTGCTAGCAGCATGACTTTGCTAGCAGCATGACTTCTCAAATATTTTATTATTACTGCAATGAAATTACATACATTTTGATAAGTCATGTGCCTTTTGTTAAGTCAGTTACATTTTGTGATCGTGGCTATCATTAGATTTATCATTAACAACACGTCTTTAACGATTTGTCATTAATGACATGTTTTTAATGATTTGTCATTAGCAACATGTCTTCAACGATTTGTCATTGGCAACATGACTTTAACAGTTTGTCATAAGTGACATGTCTTTAACAGTTTGTCACTAGTGAAATGTCTTTAACAGTTTTTCATAAGTGACATGTCTTTAACTATAATAAAATGAGTAAAACAGAGTAGGGTTAAACCTGAAAAAATAAAAGCAACAAAACAGCCAACATGTCGGCAGAAAGCCTTCGTCAGCGAACAATACAACAGAAAAAACGGTATAAAAATAAAAATAAGAAATAGCACTTAGCTGGTAAGTAGTATCTGTGGGCAGCAATAGAAGTGTGGCAGAAGGAAAATGAGTGAGAGTTTAAATATGCAGCGTCGAAAAAAAGGGGGAGAAAAAAGTTCACTGTGATAGGTCAGAACGTGGAGGGGCGGAGCTAGGGTCACTCTCTGATGACGAAAGGTCGCTACTTTCTAAGGGTCTCAAATTTATTCCTCTGAAACCATCTTGCGACCGATATCAACTTCTTTCGGATTCCCACCGCTACTTTCGTTCCTTGAGGCTTCAGTTTCACTTCGGTGGGAAAAGTACCGACCTCCCCGAAGACGAGATTTTTCCATTTCATAGGGAACGCAAATCTACTTGGACACCACCTTCTAATCAATCTAAAGCTTTAGACTTATATATAAAGAGCACGGAACATGACATCAAGAACCTCTCTTTACCTCCACTCCGGAAATCCAATCTTTCTAAAAGAGAATCACTCGCACTCTCTAAGCTGCGCAGTCGGAAAGATATCGTCATCAAACCAGCTGATAAGGGGGGAGCTGTTGTGGTGTGGGACAGAGATCTGTACATCAAGGAGGCTCATAGGCAACTAGAAGACAGCCAGTTCTACCAACCGAGGACCAACAACCCTATCACCAAACATAACGACATGGTGAAAGGGACTATCAAGAAAATGATTGCAGAATCAGCGCTCCCCAAATCGGCCTCTGCCCTACACATCTTCGATAGTGACCTCGGTAAGCCATGCTTCTACCTACTTCCCAAAATTCATAAGTATGGTAACCCTGGCAGACCCATTGTCTCAGCATGCTCTTGCCCCACCGAACATATCTCGGAATTCCTTGATGGAGTTTTTCAACCCATCGTTGCCTCACTGCCTACTTACATTAAGGACACCAACCATGCTCTTCAAACCTTTGAATCCATCATAATCCCTCCTGAAAAGAAACATCATCTATTTCTTCTTGATGTATGTTCTCTATACACTTCCATCCCCCACACTGACGGTCTCTTAGCTCTCAAATTCTTTCTCGAGACCAGACCCCACCCATCTATACCCACCAACACCCTCCTCAGATTGGCTGAACTAGTCCTCACCCTCAATTCGTTTGAGTTTGGTGGCCAATTCTTCGGCCAAATCAGTGTGAGTTTGGTGGCCAATTCTTCGGCCAAATCAGTAGTGTTGCTATGGGGACTAAAATGGGACCCAGCTATGCTTGCTTGTTCATGGGGCATTTCAAACACATGGTCGAAAGCAGCTATACTGGACACCTCCCTGAATTCTATAAGAGGTACATAGATGATGGTATAGGGGTCACCACTATGGAGAGGAGTGAACTTGACCTGTTCATTAACTTTGTAGGCTCCTTTCACCCCTCCATTAAATTCACATCTCTTATCTCTGAGACCTCAGTCAATTTCTTAGACGTTACAGTCACTCTTCACAAAGACACCCTACTCACCTCTGCTTACTTTAAGCCCACTGACAGCCACGGCTATCTACTCTACTCTTCATCCCACCCTAAATCCTGTAAGGACTCTATTCCTTTCTCTCAATTACTTTGTCTTCATCAACTTTGTTGGTCGGATGAGGACTTTTGGGACAAGGCACTTGAAATGATAGACTTTTTCCTGTGTAGGTCTTACCCGGAGACAGTACTTTCATCAGCCCTCCAAAGGGTTAAGAATATTACACGTGCTGATGCCTTCAGGCCACGTCTGAGCGACAATGTTGACAGGACAAAACTCCTTTTAACTTATCACCCTCACAATCTGATTGCTAAACATGTTTTCCTTAAACATCGATCTATACTACTCGCAGACACCGACACACGAGAAAAAATCTGAGAGACCTCCTTGTATGCAGTCGTATCAATGCTCCCCCCTCCCTTTTTGGGAACAAGCCGTGTGGACGCGGTCGTTGCAACACGTGCCCTTTTGTCGTCCAGACTCAACACATACGTTTCCCCAAGGGCAGTTTTCAGATACGCGACGGTTTCCTATGTACAAGCCGCAACGTTATCTACGCCATTGTCTGCACCCGGTGTCAGATGACATACATAGGGGAGACTGGACGCCGTCACTCAGACAGGTGTACTGAACACCTCCGAAACATTACACAAGATAAACAGTGTCCCGTCTCCAAACACTTCAATAGTAGCGACCACCAGGGCAAGGCGGACTTTTCAATAAGTGCGAGTGTGGCTAGCACGAACACCGCCAGCCGGGTCAATTTGGAACACAGACTTATCCTGACTTACGGCACTTTGACGCCAGATGGGATTAATGTTATGTCTCTGTTCACCGCTTGACCCTAGCTCCGCCCCTCCACGTTCTGACCTATCACAGTGAACTTTTTTCTCCCCCTTTTTTTCGCCGCTGCATATTTAAACTCTCACTCATTTTCCTTCTGCCATACTTCTATTGCTGCCCACAGATACTACTAACTAGCTAAGTGCTATTTCTTATTTTTATTTTTATACAGTTTTTTCTTTTGTATTGTTCGCTGACGAAGGCTTTCTGCCGACACGTTCGCTGTTTTGTTGCGTTTATTTTTTCAGGTTTAACCCTACTCTGTTTTACTCATTTTATTTTGTACTAACCTGATTGCAGTCTCTCCCCTTATTACCTCTTTAACCATAAGTAACATCTGATGCTCTTCATTCACAGGAGGGAAAATCATGTTTTTGTTGCTTGCTCACAAAAAGTAAGTTTCATTGGCTATAAAACATTACCCTATGACAATATATCTGTAAACAATGCAATATTTATTCCAGTAAATTTACTTGAATATAAATCAATTTACCAGCAATTTCATATTACATGTAATAATAATATTTCAATGTGACATTGCCCCCCAGGAGACAACCCATCTCTCCATGGCGGTCAGAAGGTCATACAGAATGAAGCACAGGGTGTGATCTACTCGTATTCTTTTTTTCATTTTGTATTTTGCCTGGCTGCTCTCTACATGATGATGCAACTAACCAACTGGTACATGTAAGTGCAACTGTTACGCACTGACTTGTATTGGGAAAAATTAATCTCCTATTTTAAATTTATGGCTCGTTCAAACAGTGCCTAACAAAGGACGATACCATATAGAAATACAATAACACAAGTACGACACCCAAAACAGTACCAATTACAATTAATAAGATTTAATTCAGTAGTAATACAATTATAAACAAAAGAAATATAATTACAAATCATCAACTTACAGAGTATGGTTAAACTGGTACCGGTACATAATTAGTACAATGTGCCAATGAATGAAGAATGCGAATAAACACATATAAGCACACAAAGAATAATAATGTCAATAAAACCTATCTGAATCTCCGTCTGAATCTCTCTCTCTGTGCCTGTCAATCCTTTATATATGTGGGTTACCGACGCGTCTAGAAAACGCCTTTACTTTTCTATAACAAATCGAGATCATTCTACAAAATACTAGGAGACAGTCTAACATGTTTAATTGGTAAACACGGTTGTAAACAAGATACATCAAACGAATAGGCCACGCCCACAACAAACGCTAACGTCTGCTAGGGATCTAATTTGGGTCAAGCAAAATTCAAGCATAGGGAATGTATGCTACATAACAGCAACTAACCAGCTAGTACAGGGGAGTGTAGCTATCAGGTCAGTGTTCCTTACTTGGTGTCTTCAACATGGCTGTTTATTTAAAACTAATTGGGGCAATGCAACCACGTTGCATGTTTGTTGCATGTTTTAAAATATGGGAAGAGGTGCATAATCTATAATAATAATAATTCCAGATGGTGCTCTATGCATCCACCAATTCTTTCTTTGGAATCAAGGCGTGTTTATGTCTTTTATCTGCTTCAACTGATAATCTTTTGTTTTTATCATGAGAAACAGCGGTTACATGGAATTTTCGTACATTGTTGCCATAAACCAAGACAATCCATAGCCACCATATTGTAAACAAATGGCAAGATCCAAACAATCCTTTAAAGACAAATCGGATACAGACAACAGAGTGTCCATGACCTTGGAGAGGAAAAACGAGAACTCTATTTAAACAAAAATCAAAGACTCTGTTCTTACTCAAGAACTCAACAGTTATTTTTTCCGCACCATTACACGCCGAATGTCTTGCTACAAACTAATTTTAAGGAACAACAAAAAACTCAAACAAGTATTTTCAGGAGTGAAAAAATATGTACGATAAATGAAAAAAACAACAAAGTTCCTTTTATTTGGATCAATAAAAATATCTTATCTTATCTTAAATATAAAATAATTACATAGTCCGGTGCAGTGCTATTATTATAGTTATACAATAAGTACATAGTCCAAGCTCATGTCATCAACTAGTCATAATATCATAAACTTATTAACACCCTACATTGTGTTATTGTGACCTTTGCCCTACTCTATTGGAAGTTAAACTGATCAACATTTCATCAAGTGCTATTATTACAATTAGATTCTAATTTAATAACAAAAGATACATCTTATAACCTCATGCTATGATAAATATTCCAAAATTTGAATGTCTGTTTCATTTAGGCCATCTGAATCTGACCTGGACAACTTCGGCAGGAACTGGGCGGCTGTGTGGGTTAAGATAGCATCTGGCTGGGTTTGTGTCCTTATTTATATCTGGAGTCTCTTTATCCCAAAGGTTTGTTGCATTTTAAAATCAAACATTACCTGTAATCTGTAAGCAGGTAATGCTTTATATCTGAAGTGATTCATCTGAATCCAGCTGTCCCTCTAAGGTAGCCAGTTCCTAATAGGTCTGCTTTATAAATTAATTGGCCTTGCTACTTTGGCTAAACAATTTATCATTTATTATGTAAATGAATGTGTATTAATTTTACCGTTATTTATACAGACATCTAAATAAAATATTAAATGTTTATTTGATAATATTCTTGAATAATATAGAGCAGCAAGGTTTTCAATTTAAATCGGGAGAACTCATATTTTGTATAAATACCAATATTTATGTTATCCCAAAAATTAAAAAAAGGCCTCACCTCATCTAACAATATTCCTACCTCATCTAACAATATTCCTAAGGAAATCTGCCTCCACTTCCCTTACTTGTGTTTACAATTAGGCATAGTTATCACAACACACAAAGTTTAAGTTTGAGAAAATCATCTGGCCATGAATCTTTTTAACCCTACTTTCCTCCCTAGAAAATGTCCACCCAGTTTACGTTAAAAATATAGTTGGTGACGGATCTGATATTGTTGAGTGAATATTTTACTGTTTATGACTTGACCTTTTCCCACCGTAATGGTCAACAAACTTTTGTCAACTAATGTTGCCATCCCGCTAGCATTTATAGAATCCGAAAAGTGAAGCCATAATCCCAACATGAAACTTGGTTTAAAAAATATTTTAATACTGATTCAGAATTTATTAATCTACTTTATACTAATATCATCGATGGCATTAACTTAAGCAATCTCTTCTGGTGCATCTAAGAGGAGAAAACTCAGACCAAGTTTAATGTATTTACATTATATTTAAATGCTATATATTATATAAGTAACAAAATATTTACTTTGCAATAAGAGTGAGTTGTAGATTTTGCACACGAAACAATATTCACTTTATAATTATAACTTTTTTTTTTGCTATAAAGCTGAAATATTTTTAAAATTTCAGATATGCGCTGGCAGAAACTTATCATTTCCTTACAATGAGAGAAATGAAGAATTGGATAATGTGGATGGAGCTGTTCCAGAAAATGAAGCTGTAAGAATATCCATGATTGAAGAACATGTCCCCAGGAAACCAAGAGTTAGATCAATGTCAGAACAGTCAAGCCATTCCAACTCACAAGCACAGCTCAGAGATTTTGGAGGCAGCAACAGGGCACTGGCCAAGGGTTCTCAAGAAAATTTAGCTTTGAAAAATTTGAAAGGTTCGAAAGAAAGCCTATCAGCTACAAAAGGCTCAAGGGAAAATCTGGCCCGACTGGCTTTAATGAAAGGCTCCCATGAAAATCTTAGAAATGTTAAAAGTCAGTCGAGAGAAAACTTAAAAAATGCCAGAACGCCATCACGAGAGCAACTGCAACCTCTGACTGGTGTACGAGAGATTCGAGATGAGGAAACACCAGTCCGTCTGACTGGCGGCGCCAAGCAAGTAATACAAAATAAAAAACTTACAGGGAAAGAGAAATCCTTATCACAGGAAAAGTTAAGTGCATCCAAGAACAAGTCAGGATCTCAGTCATCATTGGCTGGTCCTTCAACCAGCCAGAATAAAGCTCGTGCTAAATCTCCAGCAAAGGAGTTAAATAGATCTAGTTTGGTCTAGTTCTTCCTAGCACTATGTTAATTTTGTTTAAATGTAGCTTTAATATGAAATAGGCAATCCTTGTTTTGTTCGTCCTTCAACCCAGTGGGTAAATGTGTATCTTTGATTAGGTATAGTACTATATTAAGGACAAGTGACAGCGCTATACCAAGGGTTAGGGACAGTGCCAAAACAATGGCTGGCGTCAGTGGCATTATTATTGCAGCTTGCTGAATCTTTAAATACAGCACACAATGCCTTCCGGGAACTAGATTAATGTTTTGTAAAATGTACAAATTGTAAATTGTTATCTGTAAAAGCTATTGAAATGAATAGTGGCAGTGTAAAATAATCAAACTGTAAAAAGTTTCCACACCTCTGAATGAGCTGAAGGATTAGATTAAGATTGCAAAATCCTGGTTATGTTACATTACATTATTTGTTATCTGTAGTCCATCAAGGGAAGTGGGGTACTTATAGAGAAGTTGGTGTACTAGTATTTGTTTAGACAAAAATTTAAAAAAATATATCATGACAGGCTGATTTTGAAGACGGTTTATGAAGAAAGATTATGCAACAAAGTGATTTTCTATTTAGCTCATTCTACTTAATTGCTCATAAGATTATATCTTTTGTCTCTCATGATTAATTAGTCATAGATCATTTCTTTTGTTTCTCTCATGATTAATTAATCATAGATTATTACTTTTGTCACTCTCATGATTAATTAGTCATATTTGTATTCTTGTTAAGGGATTGATGACTTAAGACTATAATAATGTCATGACCAATTATGTCTTGTGAATACCTCTTTTTTAATATGAATTATTTGAGTGACTTACACAAAGTCATTCTGTCTAAAATAAGTGCAATGGAATGTTTCTTTTTTTTTGGCCAGTTGAGTTCAAATTCATGTTTTGCATTTTACTTCATCATTAAAAGCAACACATTTTTCTATTAGTTATTGTAAATTTTGTCATTTTAAAAAAATAAATTGTACATTATTTTTAATGTTATTTCTAAACTGTATAATTTTAGTCAATTTGGCTAGCCTCACAGAAGGCAGTAGTAGCATTTGTTCGAATATTATATACAATTTTCATCATTTAAAGACATTGACTTTCCCTATTTATTATTTCTCCTGTAAATAAAATTCCAATGTTTCCTTCCTACTCTCAGAATGTACATAGCAGGTAAACAGGGTTCTGGAATTTTCATGCCATTTTGAAAGACTTGTGTCAAATTCTTATCAGTGTGATTTTTGTCCATTTGCTTTTCTTATTTAAAAAATTCTGTAAAGAAAAGGCATTATTCATTCATCATTTTATTTTTGTCTGCCATTAAACAAACTCTGAGCTGGATATGTAAGATTATTTAAGATTAGTTTTCAACTTCACTGTCCTGCCACTAATTCTAAATATTTCTATCCTTCTCAGTGTAATGTTTGCTGTGTTTTTATATTTTTTCTCTGTATAACTTTACAACAGCAGCTGATAGTTCTTTTACTTTGTACCCACATTTTTACTGTCTTAGCCTTCTTATCTTTGTGAAAGATTTTTCTGCTTTAGTTCATTTAGTGATCTTATATTTATATTTTTCAAAAAAGTGATTTCTCTTTACTTTAAAACTAAGAGCCACTCGTTCCATTGGCAGTGGTCTAACTGTTGTTACTTATAGTTTGTAATTTTTATATTGGCAGTGAGCTATGCAGCCAAATAATATAACTGTGTTTTATTGGCAGTGAACTTATAGCAACCAGGGTTGGCAACCGTCTGTTTGTGATTTCTTCTCTCTTACTTTAAACTTGTCAGATCAGAATCAGGAGAGATTCAGCAATGTTCAGAATGGTATAGAATAAAGTAGATTTGACATAAAGTCATAGAAACACAGATATTGGAATTTTTTTGCTTCATAGATTCAACAAGTTTATAATGTTATCGTAAACATTTTGGTTGTCCATGGATATTGTGGTGAGCTACAATATTTTCAGTAAATTTTATTTTATTGAGTTGGCAACCCTGATTGCATTACATAATATGATTTAATAAAATGGCAGTGAGTTTAGTCTCTGCTATTGTAACTTACAATTATTGTTAAAACCATTTTTTCAAGACTCTAACTCTGCCAGTATTTGCATTTACCTCCTCTTGCACACTTAGCCTTTTATCCTTTTAAACAAGGTGTATTGTGAGGGATAATACATTTTTATTTAAATTGTGGATACATATCCTGTTTATGATTAATTTACTTTTAATCATTTAATTAAAAACTACCTGTTTCATTTGTAGCTATTTGAACACATAGGTTTTAGATGACTCTCGGAAAATGGTTTTACTAATTGAAAATTTTAAAATAATTTGTGTTGATGATATATCTAACACAACATTTGCTTTCTACTCTGTATATGCTAAACTTCCCTACTGTATATAACTTCCCAGACCAACCATACATTTCACCCTTTTAACCCATAGTAAGAGTACCGTAGTCTTTCGTTGAAGCTCTAGGCATGAACCTGGCGGCTCACCATCTCATAACATACTTATAAATATATATGATACTAGTTTCTGTAATTTCAAACATAAATACTTAATGGAAACAAAATCCCCAGTTTTCTTTTTCTTACTCGTATCTTGCTAATGATTCAGAGATGTTTTAAAATATCCATGTTAAGTTTTATCTTGATGTTGACACTGTATCTGTTTATAATTTATTTTTAACTTTATATTTACATATTTTATTATAAATTACTCTATGTTCTGTTAAATATATGCTTACATGCTTGTTACAAAATGAAAGTTGAATGCTTTCCCATCAATATCCTGTCTCATTCTTATGTTACATTTTGCTCAAGTCTTGCAGGGCGAGCATTTTCTTATCTCAGCTACTTTCTGTTCAAGTTTTATTGGCATTATGCATTTTTAATTGTTTGTTACACTATATTAATTATATCCAAATAAGTTTTGAACTTTTGAATGTATCTATTTTTGTACGATTTATCTGTTTGAATTTGTATGGCTCATGGTGTGTATGAAGTTAATGTATATATGTGAACGTATTTACGTTTGGTAATAGGTTAAACAATCTGTTTGTTGATAATCAAAACTCTTCTGATTTATATGTCATCTGTTGGACTGAACATTCAACTCATTGGTTTCCTCCCCATGATTTGAAAATAGAAAAGCAATGAAATAATTAAATAAATATTGATTGTTTTACCTAAAGATCCCCAGAAAGTCTATGCATCAATGTTGCCTCTGAAGTTTATGATTCTTGATATTTGAGTGCCTTCATTTCATATTTACACTTTTTTAACACGTTATAATTTCCTCTCTGAAATCAAAATTTTATTAAATTTGTTTAATCTCTTGGTTTTATAGTTTCCTTGACCTTTTAATGTGAAATACACATTTTGTGTGAATATTTGTTGAAATTTTATTTATTGAATTTTAAAAACTATATAGGATATATGTCCACTAAATTTACTGAATTAAATTTTTGCTCACTTTAAGTAAGCCAGTAATTTCCAAATTTTTTATAACTGTACCCCAATGTTTAAAAAATAATTCATTCTGCCCTCCTCTTGCATCAATAAAATAATCATTAAAACACATATATATAAAGATTTTTTCTAACATTGGCACTAGAAGCTATTGCATTTAATATAAATGACAACCTAATACATGTATAATTTAAATGTGTTCAACCAATTGTATTTTACAGGTCCACTGAGTTAACTTTTCATTTTTTTAAAGTTGTGCCTGAATTTCTTTTTATCCCAAATACAAAAGTTTTAATTTTAATGGCCTTAGATCAATAGTACAAGAGGAGCAGTAGGGTTGGTGAATTTTTGCCAAATTTCTTGCAATCTACTCCCCACCCCAACTTTGAAGAAGTTAACACTCTGCAAGATGCTGAACAACACCACCCCCACCCCCTTCCTTCATTGCCCCAACCCATTGCACTTCAAGTTGGAAAATGCTGCTCTAAGGAATGCTAGAGTGCATCCTTCAACTTGTTGTAAAAGTGGCAGAAGAGGAAGCAATGTTGTTATATTTTTCCTTTCTCTTTTCATTTCAAATTCCAATTGTAGCTTTTTCCGTCAGGGAATATTTAGATGGTTGAAAGATATAATCACAATAGTGTCAGTGTTCTATATATATTAGTTTTGCTTTTGTGTATTCAACAATATTTCTTTTCACGAAACATATTCTCTATGCATGCAATTTCTTCTTCTTCTATCTTTCTTCTATCTTTTGAGGGCCCACGATCAATTTATTGATCATTCTGGCTCCTGGTTTAAATTCAGAGTTGACTTCTCTTAGATGGGTTGCCGTCAAAGGCTAACAAGTCCCATCCACCCGGGGTGCTTGGGACGTTGGCTTTGGTGGGGATTGAACTCCAGTCCACCAGCTATTTGGTTTGAGACAGTTTAGACCGCTCGGCCACCCAGAACAACATTTTAACTCCAGAACAAAATTTGTATCCATAATCTGCTTAATTTTGTTATAAGATAAGATTGTTTTTATTGATCCAAATAAATAGAAATGTATTTTGATAGTAATGTACATATTTATTTTCAGCAGCATTCTAGAAATCTCTAACCAACAATGCCTTAAAACCGTATTGACAAGAACATTTGTGAATGGTCTTGTAGTTTATAGCTCACAGTCTAGTCTGTCCTAAGCAGCTGGGATATGAAATGTGCCATTTGCACTTTTAAAGGCCCCGTTGAACAGACAATTAAGGGCATTGTCACATTTTATTGATTAGAATGACATTTTTAGAGGCCTTATTGAACAGACAATAAAAGGAGTTTTTACATTTCAGTGATTAGAATGACACTCACAGATTAAGACGGTAGTAAAAAGCATACATGAGTAAATTGGCAGCAAAATATACCCAAATTATATTTTAGTATTGGTCATTTTTTTGGGTCTCTTACCACAGAGACTTTTAATTTTGTTAAACTTTC